CATCTTCAGGCAGGTGTTTTGGCCCTAGTCAACAAATGAGCCCCACCTACCACCCAGGCCATTACAACACAAAACAACGTTTCGGCAAGGTCTCACTCACCATCTTCAGGCAGGTGTTTTGGCCCTAGTCAACAAATGAGCCCCACCTACCACCCAGGCCATTACAACACAAAACAACGGATACACAGCCAGCACCAATCAGCACCAATCTACCAATCATGATACATCCACACATCCAATCAATCCACTTGCTGAAACAGGGCCAGCACTCCACACACACACACACCAAGGTTTGTAGAGGGACGGCAGCTCAGATCATGCTTTAAGCTCAAAACACCAGCCAGAAGATGGTGAGTGAGACCTTGCCGAAACGTTGCTAAGACAATCTCAATCTCAAAGACCCGAATAAAACAAGACCAGCATACATATATATAGTTGGAATGGGGAGCAGGAGGCTATCAAAATCAGAATCAATAGTTGAAAAAGACATCTCTTTACACTTTCTCCAAAACTCTTTAGAGTCAGTCCTTTCCTTGCTTGCATCCAACATTTGCTCGGCAACTCCTTTTTTCCGTCATGTCTCTGTAATGTTGCCTTCATTTTATCTTCAGTTACGGGCAAGACTGTAACGGACTGTTCCTCTTTGAGGAACAGGAGGAAGAGCTGCAGCCAAGTCAATAGTCAGATAAGTGAAACTTAAGTCCAAAGCATGAATGTAATTTGAGAAAGCATCTCAGATGGCATCCTCCCTTGTTCTCCTCAGGATAAAGGCGGGCAGGAAGGAGAGAGACATATTGAAAAGTATGCTTTGTCGTCTGCTTAGAAACTGGCTTTAGTATTCATAGTTTTGGTATTCAATAATGATCTAACTTGAAGGACTGACAGAAACAGGCTTAAAGTTATCCTTAGCCAGGGGTGGGCTGCTAGGGGTTCACAGGGGTTTGGGAGAACCTCTAGCTAAGATTCTGTGTGGTTTGGAGAACCCCCAAATCCCACTCCTGGCTGGCCCCGCCCCACCCACCCCGCCCTCCCAGGAGTCCCCAAGCGGCCCATTTTGGATGCAGGTAAGTGCAAAGTGTGTATGGAGGCTCTGTGAGGGCAAACAATGACCCTACAAGAAGTTTGGAAAGGTCAGAAACAGGCCCATTTCTGACCTCCAGAGGGCCTCCAGAGCCTGGGGAGGACGTTCTCTCCCTCCCGGAGGCTTGAGGAAAGCCTCCAGAGGCCGGGAAGGGCAACACCACCACCCCCGCTGTGGTGCAGGAGGACTACTAGGCCGTGCCCACCCAGCAACCAGGCAGAGAACCTCTTGCTCAAATTTTTGAAGCCCATCCCTGTTAGCTTAGCTATACTGATGCTGAAGTAATATTTTTCCTTGTAATTAGATGCCACCCAAGGGCTTTGGCTTTGACTCTTGTGACTTGTCTCTTCATGGGTGTCTCGTGTCCCTTCAGCGCTGGGGATTGCAGTGACTGGAAACAATGGTAACACAGACAGAAAACAGCAACAGAGACAGCAAATGCAGTGGTGGGTTTCAAAAATTGTTCGAACCTACTCTGTGGGTGTGGCCTCCTTTGTGGAAGTGGCTTGCCACCCATGTGACCGGATGGGAGTNCTCCTTTCTTTCCCCCACTGACTGTGGGGCAGTGATGAGTCCTTGGTTTAACATCTACCTTTTGCAGTTGCTAACCATTCCATATTATGTTACTGAAAGTTTAGCACCTCCCTTTCAATGCAGTGTTTCCCCCCCCCCCCCCCCGGTAACAGAACCAAGTCCAATGGATTGAATACTTTGATATATTGCGGTTCTCTAGCGCTTCAGCCTGGACTTCTCCAAACTAGTGGTAGGTCTTGGAGAGAAAAACCTGCTATCTGTAGTGGGAAAGATAGCAGGGACGGGGTAGCTCAATGGCTAAGACGCTGAGCTTGTCGACCAGAAAGGTCGGCAGTTCGGCAGCTCGAATCCCTAGCGCCGTGTAACAGAGTGAGCTCCCGTTATTTGTCCCAGCTTCTGCCAACCTAGCAGGTCGAAAGTATGTAAAAATGCAAGAAGAAAAATAGGGACCACCTTTGGTGGGAAGGTAACAGCGTTCTGTGCACCTTCGGCATTTAGTCATGCCGGCCATATGACCCCAGAGACGTCTTTGGACAGTGCTGGCTCTTCGGCTTTGAAACGAAGATCAGCACCGCCCCCTAGAGTCAGAAACCTGAGTTGGGAGTATTTGAAATGGAACTGTATGTAATGGGGAGATGGAAAGCATATGCAGATTTTTAAACGATGGTTCGTTCATCAAACCATCAATCAACCATCAATCAAATACAAATTTTGTATTGCCAACGCTTGCCCTAAGCCATGCATGTCCATTTGCATCGGGTGAAAGGGGCTTTCAGGGATTCTGGGATTAGCATCCCCTATCATCTGGAGGGCACCAGTTTGGGGAAAGGGGTCAAACAAGGCAGCCATTACAGAACACAACATCAACACCTGGGACCAAATCTTCTGAGAATCGATTAACTCGCACTCCTGACCACTGAAGTGAAGCCGTGTCCCATTTTGGGGTGGGTGGCTGTTCTTCATTTTAAAATTTGAAGGGCAGAAAAACTATTTATATACAATTCTAATTAGGACACTAATTTATGAAAGATGCCTTCGGGACGTTAATAATTTAATTGCTTTGATGTACGAGCTACAGAAATCTCATTTGCGACTAAATGTGATTATCTCTGCAAATGTATCCCTAATCGGTTCTCGTACGAGTCTACAGATTTCATTTGGGATTATTTTGCTTCCTTTCTCTTCCTGCTTCCCTTAATCAGGATCCTGCCAAAGCATTCGGATGGAATCACTCTAGTCTATTTTTCTTGAAAGAAAAATATCAAAAGTAATGTCCATAAATATCCCTCTCTTAATGGGTTTCCTGGGGACCCAAATTCACTGGAAACATGTCAGTTCTATTTTAGAGTTAGTATTTTAGAAAGAGCAGATACAGAATTTCTTTTTTTTAAAAAATAGGCAGAGAGACTTTATTTGGCTGCTCTGTGTAATGACTCATACTTGTTTATCTATCTATGTATTTATTTAGTAAACATAGATCATTCATTTCCTCTGGATGGCTCACAATTAAATGATTAAAATTAAATAAAAATAGAATAATAGAATAAGGTAAAGGTTCCCCTCGCACATATGTGCTAGTCGTTCCTGATGAACAGTGCTCATCTTCGTTTCAAAGCCGAAGAGCCAGCGCTGTCCGAAGATGTCTCCGTGGTCATGTGGCCGGCGTGACCAAACACCAAAGGCACACGGAACGCTATTACCTTCCCACCAAAGGTGGTCCCTATTTTTCTACTTTCATTTTAATCATGCCTTCGAACTGCTAGGTTGGCAGAAGCTGGGACAAGTAACGGGAACACACTCTGTTACGCAGTGCTAGGGATTCAAACTGCTGAACTGCTGACCTTTCTGATTGACAAGCTCAGCATCTTAGCCACTAAGCCATCGCTTCCCATAATAAGAGAGTAGAATATTAAAAATTTTATGTTATCTAGGCCTGGGGATCTAGGCCTGGGGATAAGTTTCTAATTCGCCCCACCCGAGTGTTGAATGAAAGTTGTGTTTTTACTGTTTATTTTATTCACATATTGTTTATGTCTCTGTATTGCACCCCCCTTTTCCTATGAATGTAAGCCGCCCTGAGTCCCCTCAGGGAAAAGGGTGGCCTATAAATCCCAAATAAATGAAAATGAAATGAAATAAAGAAGGAAAAAACTCTATTGTAAATAGAATAAAAACAGAGTTAATAATAAAAAAAAATAGCCAAGAAGACTTGCAACCATGAAATAGCAATGCTATTTATTTATTATGGATAAAGGAGAATATTTTGTAGCTCTGGGTGGAAATGAGGTTTCCTTGGTGCTCTCTGAGCTTGGTTGTTTCCCTCCAGATGTTTTATTACCAAAAAAGGTCACATGATCAGTTCTCAATCTATTTATTATTTCAGTTAATATAATTAATGGTCTATTGGGGATCTGCATTTAATTAGCAGCCTTCTATTCTTTACATTAAAGGGGCGTGGTGGCTCAGTGGCTAAGATGTTGAGCTTGTCGGTCAGAAAGGTCGGCGGTTCGAATCCCTAGCGCCGTGTAACGGAGTGAGCTCCCGTTACTTGTCCCAGCTTCTGCCAACCTAGCAGTTCAAAAGGACGTAAAAATGCAAGTAGAAAAAGAGGAACCACCTTTGGAGGGAAGGTAACCGACATCTTTGGACAGCGCTGGTTCTTCGGCTTTGAAACAGAGATGAGCACAGTCCCTAGAGCCAGAAACGACTAGCACATATGTGCAAGCGGAACCTTTGCCTTTACCTTTTATTCTTTACATTAAGCATGACAACTTCCTTTAAAGCTTCTTGTTCCTTGAAAAAGAATCATCCAGTTCAGGGAAAAGTTGGACTTGTAGTGTAAAACATATTTAACTTTCGGCTTCACCTGCTACATCCGTTGGTTGCAATTCTATTATTTTTGACTTCCCTTCCGAAGCGAGATCTGTATGTTATTGTTTTGAATTGATAGATTGGCCCAAATCATGCAGGAAATAGCCTGTGGTTGTGCTTTCTTTCAGGTACGATGAGTGTGTTGGGCCCGGAGCAGCCCAAATCTACCTTCCAACAGAAGATCCTCCACCTTATTCTTTGATAGACCCTTGTCAGCAGAACGATGTCTCTACGAACAATTCCTTGGAAGAAAGGGGATCTACCAGTACAACAACGGGGTGGGATTCCGAGGGTTGGGTTAGGATACAGGACCTGCATCCACCTTCCACGGCCTCGTCATCGTCCTTCCCAACCGAAACCGCTCCACCGTACGAGGCTGTTGTGGGTGAACAGAACATTCCTCTCCCACAAGCCTCACTCGCTCTGCTGAAAGCTTCAGCAGATTATCATCGGACACTTTTCGACAGAATAGGGTAAACGAATTACACCGTGGGGGGGGGACATCTTGCAAGGTGAAGATGCACGGAAAGATGAACTGATCGCCCGCCCGCCAGTTGACTTGCAACACAACTTTTCTCTTTTTCTACTTCGAAGAGGGCTAGGCTGGGCTGCTTTTGGAGACACGGGTTTCATTTTCTTTCTTTGGTGGAACATCTTTTGGAAAGCTGGCCTCTCTATGCCTTTTGCACCGTTTCCTCTCCCACTTTGAAAAGGGTAAAACACCAAAATCGATGCTAAGGAAGGCGGACATCTCCGAAGCATTTTTATAATGTCTCCTGCTCACCCAGGGGCATATGGAACTGTCCATTCTTGTTGGATCTTCCCTGGTTCGGGAGGAAAAGTTTGCCCAGAATCCACTTTGATGAGATGGGCAACTCTATAAATTTGACTAATAAATAAAATGCACATTTTTTTTAAAAAAAAGTACAACCAATATTTTAAGCACTGCTCACAAGCGGTAGAGATAAATAACAGAGGAGGGGATTCTTTGTAAGGAAAACATGGGTTGGGTTTTTACAAAACTCAGTAGGCTAAAATGTGGATTTGGCTAGTTTGCACCTCAGTGTAGTCTGGGAAAATAGCCATCCTGAAGCCAACTGGTCTGCCTATCAACACGACCTACCTCGCAAGGAGAGTTGGAAAGCTAATAAAATAGTGAGAATGACATCCATGTTGCTCTGAGGCCTATGGAGAAAGTCCCTAATGATGATGAGGATGATTCAGTGGATTGTACCAAAATGTGATTCTCCAACTAATAATTGACGACAGATTTCTTGAAGTATCTCAGATCATTCATTTGTTTATGGCAGAGGTCTTCAAACTTGGCACCTTTAAGATTTGTGGACTTCAACTCCCAGAATTCTCCAGTCCACAAGTCTTAAAGGTGCCAAGTTTGGGGACCTCTGGTTTATGGGAATCTGGTTTTTTTCTGAATTGTAACTCTGAATTTTAGATACTAGTTTGCTGGTGTCCTTCCATGGTTTTGCAAGCGGGGAGCAAAATAATTCTTTTGCTGGGACATTAGGGTTTTATATCTCTGCTTAGGTTCTTGATGGCTTGCTGCTATATTCTTGTTGAGCCGAGGTGGCGCAGTGGTTAAATGCAGCACTGCAGGCTACTTCAGCTGACTGCAGTTCTGCAGTTCGGCTGTTCAAATGTCACCGGCTCAGGGTTGACTCAGCCTTCCATCCTTCCGAGGTGGGTAAAATGAGGACCCGGATTGTTGTTGGGGGCAATATGCTGACTCTGTAAACTGCTTAGAGAGGGCTGAAAGCCCTATGAAGCGGTATATAAGTCTAACTGCTATTGCTATTGTTTTACTGCAGCTGTTGTTTCTGTCCTACAAGACATCTAACATCACTGGAGAATTTTAACCTGAGTATTTTATCGCCTTTTACAAAATCATATTCTTGCTCTTTGGGAAAAGTAGAGGTTCTCCTTCTCATCCAGCTGTTCCTTTGATCTCTCCCACATATAGACTAAATTCAATTCCTGAAGGCAGAGCTGTCAAACTTAAGTCCACTTGCTTTGGAAAATGCTGGCCATTGCCCCGGAAATCTCCAAACTTTCTGTCCAAAATTTGTATTTCCATTGGTACATTTTAATTTGATATAAGGGAGAAATGTGGCCCATGGAGGGAAATGAGCAGGAATGTGAGGTCCTTGTATCTCATTAACCCTTCCAATCAAGTCGTCTTTCATTTTGGTCCTTCCCCATTTATTTTTGGAAGTGTCATCTCAAAAGGAAGCAGGCCTCCCAACAAAGGACATTCATTTCTAGCTAGAACACCCATGTGCACAATCTCTTATGATTTCCCTCTTGTGACCAGTTGAATTTTGATGAGCATGGGGATGCTGAAATGGTTGTAAGTGTGAACAATGGTCATAAACCACTTTTTTCAGTCCTGTTGTAACTTTGAGCAGTCACTAAAAAAAAACTTTGTAAATCAAGGACTACCTGTATTGCATTGAACTTGTAGAAAGTCTAGCAATAATTACCACCCTCTAGGATCAAAAATCCTTGTTTGGCTCCATATAATAAATTTTTTCCTTAAGATTTGGATTTGGACCTGTCCCAACAATTGCATCTATTCCCCAGAGCCATACCAGAGGTCCACCCATTTTAATGTTGCCAAGCTGAGAAACACCATGGCGCGTCATTTCCCATGGGTGTCCCATTCTTCCTCTGTAGGTAAACCTCGACTTACGACCCTAATCAAGAGCAGAATTTCTGTTGCTAAGCAAGATGGTTGGTAAATGAGTCACGCCTAATTTTATGTCTTTATTTCCCAGGGCAGTTAAGCAAATCACGGCAGTTATTAAGCAAATCACATGGCCATTAAGCAAACCTGGTTTTCCCCGTCGACTGTCAGAAGCTGGCTGGGGGGGAGCACACATGGTAATCACATGACGCTGGAACATGACAGCCATCATAAATACATGCCAGTTGCCAAGCACCTGAATTTTGATCTTGTGATCGTAGGGAATGCTGCAACATTTGTAAGTGTGAGGACCGGTCATAAGTTCCCTTGTTACTTTGAACAAGCGGTAAATGGATGGTTATAAGTTGAGGGATCTCTGTACATTGTAGCAAGAATAGAATATGGCTAGTTTTGCTCTATTTGTTTGTCTTTTAGCAATCTTTAGAAATGTAGCAGCAAAAAAAAGTGGCATTTGCCTCTGGATATAGAAGGCTAAATATTGTAAAGCATGGGATTCCATTAACAATTAAATGCAAAAACAAAAAACACTCATCTGTGATGATTACTTTACGCAGCCATAATAGAAAGAGAATTGTATTTTTCCTGCCGCTAATTAAACGATGGATATTTGTATAATGATTCCAAAGCGAAGAGCAATAAAAAAAATACATGGAAAGCTTTTACAACATGCATTAAGCCAGCCTTTTTGGAGTTAGACATATTCTAACAATTTAAATTGACATGGGATCATTCTTTCGCCAAATCTTAAATACTGCATGATTCAAAAGCTTGCTCTATATTTATTATAAGTATATGAAGGGGTGTTCCACAATATTCCAACATTATTCCAAAACTCAATCCTTGGTTTGTATCCCATTACATAATCTAAGATTATAAACAGCCACCTGACCCAAAGACAGACTTAGGGGAAACATAATCTGCAGGACGTTTCTATCTCATTCATTTAAAGTAATCATTTATCTGTAATGTTTCGATTTTTTGAAAAAAGTTTCCAGACCTTATGAAGGATCCAACAGTTCCAGGAAAAGTTTAGCAGCACTTTTTGATGTTGTGGGTAACAACCAAGTTATGGAAAGTGGTATCTTCAAAAGTGTCGTGAGATTAAGTGTTTTTACTTATAATTAAATGTTCACAACAGCTATGAGTTTAGGAAGAGTATGCCAGATCCGCCAAGGGCTCTTGGCATTCTACGTTCCTGTTCTGACGTAGGCTTCCCCCAAAAGCCCAAGGCAGAGTCCTGGTCCCGACAAAACCCCTTTTATTAAATGAATGTGGATTCCTCTCATTCACATTCAGCAAAGGCCTGGCAAACAGTCTTTCAAAGGAATATTTATGAACACAGACCTTATCTATCTTGGAAAGCTGCCATGTAAATATTTTCCAAATGAGGTGCTGTGCCAGGAAAGACTGAGCACAGAGTCTCTGAGATTCACGGACAGATCTCTACACTCCTGAAACAAATCTAATGATGGAACGAACAAATTGTTCCCTGCAAAAGCCCACTCCCCTTTCGCTCTTCTTTTATTTCCTATGGGAGGAGCCATTCACCCTCCACCTGGGACTTTACTCCCAAGTCTACCCTGGTTTCTGAGTGGTTCTTTTCTTCTGGCAGCTCTGTGCATGCAGACACTGGGAACAGGATCCAGCTGTTCCTCTGCCTCACTGCTGTCTAGCTCTGAAGGCAGCTGAGAACTGGCAGATGGCCTTGGCCCCCTCCCTGCCTCCGACGCAGAGCCCTCATCCCAGCCTTCCCCAGCCTCCAGGACTGGCCCATGCTCCTCCCAAACCTCTTCACTTTGCTGCCAGCTCTGCTGGCCATTAGTGGACCACAACACTTCCAGAATGGCCTATAGTCAGGACCTCCCCAGATATTGAACCCGGGGTTGCATTTAAACTGGTTTACTTCGCCACAATGACGCTATGATGATTATAAAGATTGAAAGAAAATGCTTGCTTTACCTGATCACCCTTCCAATGCCCCCTTGCCAGATGTGGGCTTTGGGGCAAGCAGTCCCAGGTTTTAGTCTGCTGCACCTGATATAAAACAAAACATTCATTCATTGATATCTCAGGCTTATGTTTACAAATAACTCAAGGTGGCCACATGTTCAACACACCTTCCTCCTCCTATTTTCCGCACAACAAACAGCCCCTATGTGGTGAGTTTGGGCTGAGAGAGTGAGGGATCAGCCCAGAATCGCCCAGCTGGCTTCCGTGGCTAAGACGGGACTTGAACTCAGAGTCTATAAAATACAACTTACAACCACAACCAAGTCCAAAATTTACATGGCTAAGTAAGGAAGTAAGGTAGTTTTGCCCCATCTCACAACTTTCCTTGCCACATTTGTTAAGTGAATCACTGCAGTTGTCAAACTGGTAAGACGGTTATTAAGTGAATCTGGTTTCCCCCATTGACTTTGCCTGTCCGAAGGTTGCCCAAGGGGATTGCATGACTGCGGGACGGTTGCATAACCCATCATAAATATAAATCATATGACCATGGGGATGCTGCAATGGTTAAGTGTGAAAAATGGTCCTAAGTCAATTCTCAGTGTTAATTTCAAACCATCTGTCTTAACTTCTCTAAGTGAACTGTTGTAAGTCGAGGACTACAGGTAATAACAACCATCCCCCATGGTGGCACTTCTAGAACAACTCAAGCCCCCAGAGAGAGGGCCAGCCGATAACTTCTAGACTTGCCTTTGAACACGGATACCCAAAGCAGAACTCTTCTTCCCCCTCCCTCCCCCGCTTCGGTTTCACTTTCGCTTTGCAGCCCCCGCCCACTTCCCGCCTCCTGGCGAGCCCGAAATGGGAAAAGGATGAGCCTTCCCCTTGAGTGACAGCAGGGGCAGCAACTGGCACGGCGGGCAAAGCCACGGACAAGCCAATGGCAGCCTCCAGTTCCTCTCTGCTTCTCTCTCTCTCTCTCTCTCTCTCTCCGCCCCATTTCCCCAGCGGGGCCTGAGGAAGCCAAGCGTGGGAGCCTCCGTTTCCGCGTCCCGTGAGTCGGAGCCAAGAGCGGCTGGCCGTCGGGCTTCCCCGTTTCAGGCTCATCGCAAGGGAAGGAAGGAAAAATCCCTGGAGGGGATCCAGGATGAGGAGCTGTCCGTCTCTGGCCGTCCCGCGGGAAGTTTTGCAAGACTACCTGGCTTTCTACCGCGCTAGCTGGGCGGAGGGCAAACTCCGCCTTTGCGACGAAGCGCCGCTCAAGAGCCGCGCCGGGTCGCTGCGGGCGGCCCAGGCGGGCAGGTGGGACGTGGGCGCGATCGCCGAGAGCTGCTGGAGGATGCGCGGCAGGCGGCGGGAGGACGGTGCCGCCGTCTTCCACCAACTGAGCCAGGCATTCGGCTACTTGGAGCTGCTGTGTGTCAACCTTTGCCTCTCGCCCTGGAGGAAGGAGATCAAGTCGCTGAAGGTAGTTGGGGAGGAGGGAGGGAAGGGCAGGGCAGGAAGGGGAGGGAGAGAAGGAAGCTCCCCAGTGGGTTTGGCCACCTCACGTAAACAGTAACAGAGTTGGAAGGGACCTTGGAGGTCATCTAGTCCAACCCGACCTTTCTGATGGACAAGCTCAGTGTATTAGCCACTGAGCCACCGAGTCAGGCTAGGTGATGGACACCTAGTCAGGCGTCTTGATAGAGAGGGTGGATGGAGAGGCGGGCGTTGCCCACTTCCCATAAAAAATAAGAGAGCTGGAAGGGACCTTGGAGTTCATCTAGTCCAACCCCCTTGCTCACGGAGATCTGTACTAGGGATTTGAATTGCCGACCTTTCTGATGAACAAGCTCAGTGTCTTAGCCACTGAGCCACTGAGTAAGGCTAGGTTGGGGGGGGGAGAGGGGGGGGCTTTGCTCCAGGAACCCAAGGCACAGAAGGTTAAAAACAAAAATCCTTCCTCCTTTTGCCCAAAGGCAAAAAAAACCCAAATGGACAAAAATACATTCATGATTAGAACAAATGATAAAGGTATTTCATATATTGGTATTGGTATTTTATTATTTGTATGCCGCCCTTCTCCGGGAGGACTCAGGGCGGCGAACAATTCAA